CCCAGCCGGGATGCGCGCTGCGGCCCCGCGCTGCTGCGGCTTCGCGCTCCTCCCAGGCGCGCTCCCGGCTCCGCCCCCCGGCCCTCCGCGACGGCCGCGACCAATGAGGTGAGAGGGAGGTGAGGGCGTCTGCGCGGGTGTAAAGAGGGTCTTGTAGGGCCCCGAATTTGCACCTTGGAGGGTTGCGCTTCTGGGATGCAGGCCTGGCGTCGGGTGGCGCGGCAGCGGTCCACCTAGGAGTCTAATATAGAACTTTGGGGAAGGTTTTTGCAAGTTATTCGCAAAGGGGAGTCCCCGGGGCGGGTTCCCAATCACTACTTGCCTCTCGCTCGCGCCCTGGCAACACCGGGCTTGGTGAGGCCCCGGAGACTATGATACTACGTTACTTTGTGAGAGTCGTAGCTTTTAGCAGTAGCATAGCCCACGCTTAAAGGCAACTGCGCTTCGCACGCACCCCACTTTTTCCCATCTCCTCTCTCGGCACTGTCCTCAACCGCCCTCGACCTTTCGCACTCGTGACTGCCTGGCCAGGGTGCCTGGCGGGCTGCAGCAGGTGCTGGGGGAAAAACTTGTCTGGACGACCTTCCTCTGGGATGCACCGCACTTCCCCTTCACCTGGGAATGGTTGAGGAACACAAAGAATTATGACGTTGTCTCCCCTTTCCTTTTACCCTTAGATTTCTGATGTCCTGCAGCCTCTTCTTGCCCCGGGCTGCCCAGGTCTTGGTGGCTGAGGCTGGCTTACCTCCCAGGCGTTCCTTCATGGGCTTTGCTGCCCCCTTCACTAACAAGCGAAAAGCTTACTCGGAGCGTAGGATCATGGGGTGAGCATCCTCCCCTGTCCAGCATCCCTCCACATTGCCTTCCCCTCCAAACAAATGATCAAACCTAGCCTAGAATGTAAGGCTAGCAGTAGTGGACAAGATTCATCCCTGGCCATCCCTCTCCCCAGCTATTATTACTAATCATTTATCCTTCCCTCCCAGCCTTCCAACTTTCATTTCCCCCTTCTTGGTTGCTGGGCATGTCCATTAAGTGAAATGTGACTAGAACTGGGCAATATAAGACAACAGGGTATTATTTCTCTGCTGACCTTTTATTATTTTTTTAACTTAAAAAGTTTTTTTATTTTGAGAGAAAGCGAGCGAGCGCGCGAATGGAGGAGGGGCAGAGAGAATCCCAAGCAGGATTCTCTTCCCTGGGCTCGATCTGTACCTAGGGCTACTGTGTTAGAAAGTTATAGAACTAGGATCTGAGTTCTTGTGGGATCACCAGTAAAATGGACAGCCAGTGTTCCCCCTAGTCTTTTTTTTTTTTTTTTTTTTTTTTTTTTTTTAATTTTTAAGATTTATTTTGAGAACAGAACAAGCTAGGGAGGGGTAGAGGGGAGAGACAGAATCCCAAGCAGGCTCTGCGTCATCAGTGCAGAGTTTGATGTGGGGCTCGAACCCACAAACTGTGAGATCATGACCTGAACCAAGATCAAGAGTCGGATGCTTAGCTTACTGCACCACCCTGGTGCCTCTAGATAGTCCCTCTTAAGATCAAAATAGATAGTAAATGCAATAGCGTTCTGTGAACTACAAAATATAAGGTAACGTTAACATCATGGAAATTTGTTTGCTTTTGGGAAGTCATAAATCCAGGTTTTGGGATCTCTAGTTCCTGATGATGAATAGTTAGTGGGCAAAGGTACTGGGGAGAAGGTACCCAGGGCAGGGAGGAACTTGACCCAGCTGGCAGTTCCTTGGCCTCTCTCTGTGATTCCTTCTCCTAGGTACTCAATGCAGGAGATGTACGAAGTGGTGTCCAATGTCCAGGAGTATCGTGAGTTTGTGCCCTGGTGTAAGAAGTCTTTGGTGGTATCTAGCCGCAAAGGTCACCTGAAGGCCCAGTTAGAGGTTGGGTTTCCACCTATTGTGGAACGTTACACGTCTGCTGTTTCCATGGTCAAACCTCACATGGTCAAGGTGAGGCGTTGGGAAGAGGGATTAATCAGCAAAATTTTTGTGTTCTCTAGCATTTTTACATTTAATGGCTATTTTGGCCCTCTTTGTAATGATTTTATCTCCATGTGTCAAATACTTCCCTAATAAAACATTCGAAGGAAAATATCTTTCATTTCTTTCTTATAGGCTCCTATACCTAGTATAGGTTTTATTCCATTTTAATATTGTTTAACTACCCGACTGTCCTTTTAGGCTGTTTGCACTGATGGCAAGCTCTTCAACCACTTAGAGACCATTTGGCGATTCAGTCCGGGTATTCCTGCCTACCCACGAACTTGCACTGTGGACTTTTCGGTGAGTCAGGAGGCTGTGTAGCATAGGGTTGTGGGAGCAGAGTGGAGGTACAATGACAGTTATGAAGTATAGCTAGCACTTAGCATTTCCTAAGTCAGTGACACTTTTCCATAGGTCTGAGCTTACATCAAACATACTCTGTGCTCAGTCGTTAAGTAAGGGCTTTTGAAGGGATCTAAGAACTAGAGGGGGAGGGGAAGAAAAGGCACTGAATAGTATCCTTGCATTTGGCCAGGGACTATCCAACATGGTCTTGAATAGTTTCTGACTGTCTCTTACCCATTCCCAGATTTCCTTTGAATTTCGTTCTCTGCTGCACTCCCAGCTGGCCACCATGTTTTTTGATGAGGTTGTCAAACAGAATGTTGCTGCCTTCGAGCGTCGGGCAGCCACCAAGTTTGGTCCAGAAACAGCCATCCCCCGTGAACTGATGTTCCATGAGGTGCACCAGACTTGAGGCAAAGGATTGTTCCTGGCCTCTCCTCTACTCTCCCTCCCAATCCAATTCTCTTATTTATTTCATTTGGCTCCTGATCCAATCTAAGAGAAGAGTCTGTGTTTATAATGTTTTCCTTCTCAATTCCCCAGAAATTGGGCTCTAAGCTGGCTACAAATGCTGGGGCACAAAGGTAGGGGGGTACAGAAAGAAGACATGCCTAGGGGATGGTCAAGCTCATCTTGAGAGCCCCATATGCCTGATGTCTGCAGTCTTCTCATAGTGAATTATATTCAGGACCGTGTGGTTCTTTTTGGACCCTGTCAACATACCTTAGTGTCTGACCAGAGTAAGATAGCAACTTTTCTAAGGATTGTATAAACCAAGCTTTTTCCTCTGACAGAGGTACTGGGTGGTCAATAATTGTTGCCCACCTAAGATGCTTCAGGAAATGCCTGAGATCTGGCCCCAGATTGAAATCCATATGATCTCACTTTTAAAAATATTTCCATGCTGCCTGGTTAGTGGAGAGCACGAGGCTGTCTTAACATCAGTGCCACAGGGGCAAGGAGAAAAAAAGCACTGAAGAGAATTGTACTCTTGGGTTGTACCTTATTCTTCTACTTGGCCTGAGTTTTTATAAAATTTCAATAAATTAATTGTGACAGTGTGAATTTGGCTTTTTTATATCGTTTCTTGGGGGAACAGTGTGGATATAGCATAGTAGAAGAAAGTCATGGCTTCCTTCCTCAGGGGAGTAAAGGTGCAAGAAGGCCTCTTGGACATAGTGTCCCTGCTAACTATAGTAGCACATTCTACAAGCCAGGACCTAGTACCCACTCCCTTGCCTATTTATAGACTTTTTCAGAAGGTCAGTTGCAGGAGTCTCAGAACAGAATAATCTGGTCTCAGATCTACCATACAGCTGATGTCCTCAGGACCGCTTATTTTGAGGACCTCCTTAAGGTCCCTGCAAAGAATAGGCATTCCACACAATACCAGAGCCCTCTAGAGGCTCAGGTCCAGAGCCAGCAGTCCTCCTCTATTTCCCTTGGTATGGTATGTTCCTTTCGCCCAATGGGCTGAACTAGTTTCCTTGGATTAGTCGCATAAGCAGTTTTGAGGTCTCAGCTACGGTCCTTGAGTGTTTTCTTTTACAACAAAATTAAGAAGGACTTCTAATCTTGAGGAAAGACAGAAATCTCCTTTGGAAATTTCAGGTATCCTGTCTTATTAGGGTAAATAAATGTCAAAACCACCTAAAGATAAAGGGATGCACAGGACAACTTAGAACACACTTAGTCCAGGATCTTGCTAGCCAGATTCCTTACTTTATAACAGAGATTCTTCCAGGTCTTATTTAATAGCAGGCTCAAGCATTGTTAATAAAAACATTTATTTTGCATTTTATACAGAACAACCTGAAGTCTGGATCATGACTTGACAGTTACCCAGGGGTTTACAGACAATGTGTCCATCTCAGCGTGGTTCTGGGGATTAGGGTTCCACACAAACACAGGCAGGAGTTGCGAGGAAGGAAGGGGGCACTGTAGGAGTGTATTTCAATCCTTTCTTAAAGAAAAGGCAGTAGAGCATTCTGAGTCACTGAAACCTGTGCAAATGGGGCTTCTAAAAAATACTGTACTGTGAGCTCTTGAGGAAGGGGCCAGATAAGGATCTTGATAAATAAAGGGATATTTTCTTGTAGCAGGGGAAGAGGGAGGCCTATTACTTTTGTTCTCAGCCCCAAGACCTGATATTCAAAGGAAACCACATCCAATCTTAAATAATTTCCCTGCTAAGAAGTACCCATATCCCTGGAACCAGACTATGAAGATAGCATGCTGGTCATTCCCAAGTCCTTATTCAATGGCCCATAGCATATTAAAATAAAGTAGAAGAAAAAGATCAAAGGGTAGTGGCTTGTGTTCCACAGGACTAAAAAGTTTAGTACATGTTAAGCACTGATAAAGCCAAATGCCTGGGAAGGACCACAGCTTAGACAGTGGCATATACAACCTGCTGGAAGAGGCCTAGTAAAGACCTCTAGTAAGGGGCAGGGGGGAAGGGTGGGGGGAGTCCACAGCACCCTCAGCTTGAGGTACAGCAGGTATAGAAAATCTGGAAGGAGGGGAATATTAAAGCAGTGAGTAATAGAACACTCCCAGATCTTAATTTTCATAGGATAATTTTAAAAGAGAAAAATCAAACATTGGGTGCCAGTCACAACAAATGCCATGGCCTTTATGGTCACCTGGTAGCATAAAAAAAAATGCCAAAGAGGTCTGCCTAACCCAACAGGTCTTGCTAGGAAGTGTCTGTGTGCATGGGAGAGAGCAATGAGGCTTCACAGAACTGATAATCCAACATGATTCCTATGGGAACAGAAGGGGCAGAGTCCCGATTTGCTGGCCTATGGAGGGCTGGGCTGAGTAGAACCAAAAGCTCTAAAGTCACTGCAGATTCTCTGCAACCAGCTTTGACCCAGGTAAAGAAGAGTCAGATTCTCACTCTAGAGGTGGTGGTGGTGGTGGTGGTGGTGGGAGGGGGGGCCCAAACCTAACCCATACCACATGCATTAGTCCTGGTCACCCTACAGTTGATGGGCAACTCACCAGGCAGGAAAAAGGAACTGATTAGGGAAGAAGGGGTTACTTTTTATCTTTTAAAGTCTTAATTTCTATTTTAACTTCAAACTTATTATCAGTGCCTCAGATACAATTTAATCTTAAATCTTAAAAAGCCCCCTGAAACAAAACAAAATTATACTTTTTTTTAAAGCTCCCTCACTTTCTGGTAGTTAGTTTCCCCCCAGTCTCCAGTTTTACCCTGACTTAGAGTCCACAAACTTCATCAGACCATCCGTGCTCATTGACTTGGGCCTCTCTAGTGGGAAGCCTAGGGCTCGGCTCCAAATGAGCTGTGCCAGTACCCCCAGTGCCCGTGACACCCCAAACAGGACTGTGTAGTAATTCATCTCTGTCATGCCGTAGTACTGTAAGATAAAAGAGAAAAAAGTTTTGTTAAAGGCGCTGAGGTAATAGCATGCATAAGTCCAGGGGCAGAGACCTTAACTGAGTCAGCCTCAAATAGAAATGACACTAGGAGGGGTGTCCAGGTGGCTCAGTCAGTTAAGCATCCAACTCTTGGTTTCAGCTCAGGTCACAATCTCACAGTTGTAAGTTCGAGTCCCACATCAGCTTCTCTGCAGAGCCCGCTTCGGATCCTGTCTCCCTCTCTCTCTGCCCCTCCCTGGCTCGCTTGCTCTCTTTTTCAAAAATAAACAAACATTAAGAAAAACTTTAAGAAAATAAAGAAATGCACCAGGAAAAGTACAGTAATTGGGATTTTGAAAAGACAGCACCCCTTTCCTTCTGCCTGTACCTGCCCTCTGCCACAGGCAACTTTATCAAAAGGGTAAAGAAGGAGGTATGAGTTGCTCTGACTAGGAAGTTGATTTTTTGCATGGCAGAGAACATCAGGGTTTGGCACAAATTAAAGGGAGAGCAGGGAAGGGAAGACTCACCTGGAGCAGCACCCCACTGTGAGCATCTACATTGGGCCAAGGATTTTTGGCCTTGCCCTGCTCTAACAGGACATTGGGCACAATCTTGTACAGCTGAGCAACAAGCTTAAACATGGAGTCATGAGGCAGGTGTTTAAGAGCAAACTCTCGCTGACAGGTATATCGTGGATCAGTCTTCCTTAGTACTGCATGGCCATAGCCTGGGACAACCTGTAAAGAGGGAGGGTAAAAAAGCCAGCTGTATTCTCAAGTAGAAATTCTTCTTTTCTAAATTCTTCAGGCTAGACAAACAGAGGATGGGGCAGGGAGAGAATTTCCTTCTCTAACACAGGGACCTCTCTCATTCTATTCTCTTTAATTCTTCTAAATTGCACAACTTGGGTCTTGGCTTCTTTCCTAGTTGCTAAGCATCTCTGCTTACCCGTCCTGAGTTGAGTGTGTTCCATATGTAGTCTCGTAATTTCTCATCTGACACATCTTTGCCAACTTCTTTTTGTAGTTGTGTCAGCCAAACAAGTACTTCCTATGGGTAAGGTTTGGGGAATAAGATAGTGTCAACACATATGCTAGGAGGGAAAGGCAAGATCAGAAGAAAAGCATGAGAATAAGAAAAACATGAAGCAGGAAAAGAAAAGGAATAGTCTTACCTGATTTGCCAAACCATGTAGGGGCCCTGCTAGCCCGTTCATGGCTGCTGCAAAGGACAGGTAGGGGTCTGAAAGGGCACTGCCCACCAAGTGGCTGGTATGGGCACTTACATTGCCTCCCTCATGGTCACTGTGGGGAAGTAAGAAAGGAGAATCAAGGCCAAGAGAGGAGAAAAAGGGGCAGACTATGAAAACATAGACCTTGCTGTTCTCTTATCACATGCTAGCCTAGTTATGGGCTCACACTAGCCTATGGCCAGTTATACATAAGCTCTTGTAAGAGATGTCCCAATCTCATTACCAGCCTTTGTTCACTAATCCACAGGGCTGGAGAGGTTACTGGTTGATGATGCCTGTCTATGTGCCAAACTCCTGGACGCTCACTCCAGCTTTAATAGGAATGGCCAGAAGAGGGAGCTCCTGGAAAGCTGAAAGATCACCTACTGTGAGCAATTAGTACTTTTCCCCAGCTTCTTAGAAACATTACTTTGTTCTTAGAAAGGTTATGATTATTTCCCTATACCTCTGGATTTCCTTTACTAGATTCCTCTCTTGTCTTGTGTACCATGTTTCCATTTCCTTGTTGCCTACTGCCTGTTCCCAGAAGAGATTGTTCAGGAGCTTTTCTTAAAATTTTCTACCAATCCAGGCAAGGAGCTATGGTTGCTGGGTCTAGCTTACCTGTGGATGGTGAGGTACAAGCGCATGAGCTCAGTGAACTGAGCATCAGTATAGCCTAACATGTTGGTGAAATTATGGGACCAGTCCAGCTTAGAGTCAATGGCCCCGATACTGCTGCCCTCCCGATAGAGATTCCGGTAGATCTTTGCTGCAACACAAGGTAGCTT